GTTGCTGTTGCTGAATCGGAATCTTAACCATTAGCGGAGATTGACTTCAATAAATCAGAATATAATCGAATGCACTCAGCTCGATTTGCAGCCAGTATTTCGATCAAATAAAATTAAATATCAGATCTATTCACCTTATTTCGTTTAAGGGGAGGAAGAAATGGTAGTTGAATTTTCCCACAATCATGTGTGGATCGGAGGTTTTCATTACTTCCCATAAGTAATTCACAACAGGGGTAGACTGCAGTTTCGACCTTTCCTGGGTCTCACCAGCACCCATAGCGGAACACGAACCAAGGTTTTGCAGCGTATTTATTTAAGACTATGAGTTGTTTTCACCCTATTTCGTTTAAGATGATGAAGGACCAGTAGTTGAATTTCCTCATAATGACATGAGAGCTGATGTTTTCCAGTGAATTTCACATAGCCTTGTTCTCCCAAAAGGTGTTCTCATCCAGAGTCGACTGCAGTTTCGACCTCGCATAGGTCTTATCAACACCCTAATCGAGACTCGAACGATGACAGTGCAGCGTGTAATCTCGACACGTTAACCACTAAGCCAGATTTCCACCCGAACCCGGGTAGTGCAGCATCATTATTTTAGTCTCGAAAATCTAGTTATAAACGAAAAATAAACTCAACTTTTTACTGCCAGTGGCTTCTAAGGAAATACAAGCTGACAATAAGGAAGAATACGAAGAAAAATTGGGTTTTGATGAGTCTACTGAGATAACATTGTTGGGGGGACTTTCATTTGTATGAAAATGCATGAAGAAGGACGGATGAATCACGTTGTACTGCAGTTGTTTGGCTTTGACACGATGTTCAGGTTGACGCAGTCCATGATACTTAATCCCTCGTTTCGGGTGAAAAAGGGCTGAACTTTGGTCCATTTATGATGTCATTTTATGATGAACTTCATGCACTTTCACACGAAATGAAAGTCTCCCCAACAAAGTAGGGAAGAAGGCAGATAGAGTCTTACCGAGTCTCCGAAGCACCGTCCACAAGGAAGAGGGCTGCCGCCTTGACCAGCTTCTCAAGACACTCTCGATGAGTTGGATTCAAGCAAAGACGTAAACTTGTCGTCGTTAGTCCTTGAGGCGTGTCAATGCTTCCATTTGACACAGCAGCGGTACCCCCACCTCCTGAGTTGTTGTGATGCCTCATCGAGCTCTGTCGCAACGGCTCATTGGTGCCTGTAACCTTGACGGCCAGGCGTAGCCAACTGGGAACCAGTCCGGCCAGACACTCGGCAACCACCCGGCGGCCAAGAGGGCTCCTCTGAACCACCTGACCGCTGGAAAACTGGCTGGTCAACGCAAGTAGGGCGCGAGCTGGTGACACGTGGCCAAGAAGGTAGTGCAGGCCGGCCAGGGCATCGGCACGAAGAAAAGCGGTGCTTGCGTCCCCAGTGCCTGCTCGGGCCAACAGTGCGGCTATCAGTCGGTCCGCGATTGGGTCGAGTCGGCGAGGCTGTGTGGCAAGGAGGCCAGCCAGACTGACAATTGCTTGGATTGAGCAGCGGGCCACCTGGTGGGTAGGGTTGTGCCAAGTGAACGTGGAAGTGAGATACGAACCGAAGGGATATTTAGATGAGTGAGTAGGCTAGAGTCCAGAAGAAATTGTTGGAGCAAAGTGAAGAGGGAATCGAAGGTATGAAGACCAGAATGGTGTGGCCTCCTTTTGGTTTATGCAAGTTGTTTGACCTTGGTTTCGCAACTTGGTCATTATTGGCAGGAAGACATAGAGGAACGCAACCTGATCATGGAAATGATCATACATACTATGGACTCTGGACAAGGTGTGTTCCTCCAGGTCTTCCTGCCAATATGAATAGGAAATGTCTACCCGTTTATAAGCCATCAAGACCAGTTTGCCTTTAAAGTTGTGTCTAAGCTGGACAGTAAAATTAGGCTGGCAATGCCTTATCACTGCCTGCCCAAGCAGTCATACAAGGTAGATAAGAAGACATGTGAGTGTCACCTTGCAGAAACCGGACGCATTACTGCAAGATTTATTTGTAAAAGTGTGAACATCCTCTAAATTATTTGACCCATTTTAAAATTAGGCCTATGAAAGAATATGACTGAATTATTTGACAAAGCAGAGAAGAGAAATCAAAACGGTGTCCAAGTGAATGGCTTTCCGTGCTAAATCAGAGCAGATTGTGCTGTATGAACTCAAACATGAATATGGATAACAAGACATACAACACAAGCTCTAAGTTATGGCGGCGACAAAACTGCCAAATTGACACATTTTGGAAACCGGATTAGGAAATATAAATAAATATCAAGGCTAGACAATATGAAAAGTAATGTCGGTAATTGACAATTGGTCACAACCATGAAGGA